ACCAGAAAGCCGGCATTAAATACATTTCTCTCCCTCTCTCTCTCTCTCTCTCTCTCTCTCTCTCTCTTTTGCTCATTTTGTTTATTTTGTTGTTTTTAATCATATTTTTTCTCACGCTCCTTTACATTCGCTGTTATTTATTTTATTTAAAGAGGAAGCCACTCATTTAACATTTTCTCTGTATAGATTTTCACATCCATCTCTGTATGTCTCTGTCTCTCACTCCCTCTCTATCTCAATTGGGCGACAATTTTCACAACAACAAAAATCATGCTGGCCGAATGGTCGAAGGGGAGGGGTTGGGTGAAGTGAAGTGAAGTGAAGTTGAAGCGGGGCAGGATGTTCAGTCGCCCGATGATTACACGCATATATTTTTTTTTGTATTTTATACAGTGATGTCGCCAGGCATTAGGATAGCACAGGGTATGCTATGCGTGGCTACTGCTTGACCACGGGAGAGTGTAAGCAGTGTATGACGAAAGTATTGTTGTATACTATTTCTGCAAGATCTCTCTCACGAGAGTCGTTATTTCTTGGACTCACTATGGGTCATTTTCCTCATATCCCTATCCTACTGCTGCTATTGAATGTTTTAGTTCTCGTCTGATATATGTTAACCCTTTGAAAGGGTATCAATATTGCGCTAATGCTTACCATAAGAAGTCATGTTTAAGTAGGTCCTTAAGGTCAAAGTTCACTTTCGTCCAGCTCCCACGTCATGTGGAGCCGGGGGGTATCTGCAAGTCGTGCCTGTGTTACTTGCCTGCTTTTTGGTGGCTTACAGCTAAAGTGGCTCTCCCCCTGTTAGAATGCTCATTATATAGCATATACTTGATGCTTGCGTATGTGTATGCATTTCTATCTACATCGGTGTTTATATGTATCTATGTGTGTGTATATCTGGATGAATCATCATTCAACATCATCGTCAGCAACGGCCTCATCCAGTGGCTGGCCTGGCTGGTGTTTCATTAGCGATTGTTGTTTATGTTCTTTATTTTTTATTTTGTTTTTTTTTTTTAGCATGCAGCACACTCGCTCAGGTACAGTTACCACCATGTGCTGCTTGCTGTTGCCTGTTTCTACTGCTTTCTGGCTAATTGGGGGAGAGCTACCGTTAGAAGAGTGCCCCCAAAATGCAAGTGTTGCCTCATTTCCTCTTCCTTATCCTTGTTTCTCTTCCCCCCTCAGACTCGCATTCATCCTTGCGCGCCCACTTATCCTTGTATGCCATCATTCTATCCACTGAATGGACTGACTGACGTTTGTGGGTGGCGGCGCTCCTCCCGTTGACATTTAAAGCATCTGCTGAGGGTTCTTCTTTCCACTGCTTTCCCTCCTGCTTGCCAGACCAAAGGTCTGCGGGTCACAGAGCATTTGACGTTTCTAGAACGAAAATGTGACTAGATGTCGACGGCGTCTCCTAATAATCTCCAAACAGTCAAAACAACGAAAGAGAGACAGGGAGAGTAAGAGAGCGATAAAAGTAAAAAAAATAAACAACACCAAATCAAAAGAGAAGAGAACGAGCGGCTCAAAAGGCTCTCTCACTCGTTCTCTCTTTGGAAAACAAACAAAACAGATGGACAACGGACCATATGCAAAAGAGACTAAAAAAGAGAGTTGTGTGTTTCGGAATTTAAGAGAGCGAAGTGTATCTGTGGCGGCATTTGTATCGGAACGTCATGCAAGCGGGTACCACAGTGCTTGTGTTTTTTTTTACGTGTGGCTGCCTGTGTGTGTGTGTGTTAGTGTGCCTAACAAATAGTTGAAGTTTTTGTTGTTGTCTCTAAGCGGCCATATTTGCTAATTAATTATGTCAAAGGCAGCCATAGCCATAACTTCTCCCCCCGGTTAAGCACACAGCACTCTGATCCCATTCCACCTCACGTTTTCACACCACCCCACACCCCACACCCCACACACAGACACACAGACACACTGCTCTTCGCATTGGCCTGCCCTCACAAAAACCACGTTGTTCCAAAGTGCATAAAATATAAGGTGAGGCCTTTTCAGTGAGCGCTCTCATGAAACTCGCACACTTTTCCTTGTGCCCCAATACGAACAGAACGCACAAGAGAGAACGTGTCAACAAATAGGCAACTCGAAGAACACCTTTCACTCTCTTATTCAACCTGCCCCTCCTTCTATTGTCGTGCAAAAATGTTTCAAATTGTTTATACTTTTTGTATTGGATTTGCCGCTTGTTTTCTTGTTGTTTTTCCAGCACAGCAGCAGCAGCAGCAACAGCAAAACAGCAACAGCAAAGTTGCCAAGACAACGACGAAAACTTTCGAAAATCGGTAAAAGGAAGGCCAGCCTCAGAGGCCGAAGCTTTTGATACACTTGCAGGTTTAATGATTGAAAGTTCTGTATATTTTTTCTGCATTGCAAAGCCATAAATACTCCGCTCAGCACAGGGTATGGAAAAATTGCGTCGCAGCGTTGCTTCCAGGGCCTTGTCTATTTATTTGAGACGCCACTGTACGGTGGGAGAGACGTCGATGCGACGCCAGCTTTGGAGGTCGTCTTCGGTGCCAGTAGCTGAGGCAGCGGCAACGACAGAGAAGCTTTTTATTTGTTTTTGTGCTCTTCTTAATGTTGTTTCTCTGTTGCTATTGCTTTGTGCGTTTTGTTCTCATTCTCTTTCTCGTTTGTTGTGGCGCGCTTTATTGTTGTCGCTGCTCTTTGCACATGCAAAACAAAAAGAGGATAGGGAGACGAATAAGAACAACTAACGGCATGTCAAAGTAAATTTCTTGGCTGGACATTTTTCAATGTGTTTTTTGTTGTTTTTGTATGCAATACATATGTACATACATATGGGCATATACATATCTCGTGTTTGTTGAAAATCAATAAATAATAATACACTTTGTTGGCTGCCACCCCTCACCGCACCACCTGCCCCATGCCACCTCTAGCAGCCCGTACAACGTGCCGCCGCTTGCCTAACAGCAGAAAAGTTGGCCCAAAAAGGGCAAATGAATATTCAAGTTAATTGCAAACTGCGCTTTAGGGGGGCGAATGAATATTCGATGAATTCAATTTTTGGATGAATAAAAGGCATGAGGTACATGTAATTTATTGATTGAAGGCGTTAGGGAATGAATTCGAAGGCATTGTTGAAGAATAAGTGAAGTAAATGGCTAGAAATAATGATATAATCCCTAAGACCGAGTGGAAGGCATGGTATAGAATGAACTAATGATGAACAAAGGAATAGAATGGCGAAAACCGTCGGTGTTAAATGCGTCGTGTATGAATAAGGGAATGAATGTGGTAGGGATGAATGCATGAATGAATGAATGATCTTTGGACTCTCCCTCTTTAGTTTTTTGCTGTTTCAGTTAGATTTTTTTTTTGCTTCTATTTGCAACTCTTCGAATACAAGCATTGAAAACAACTACATATGTATGACCAAAGCAGAAATGCACACACGAAATACGAAACTAAAATGAGAACTGCTGATAAGATAATCCACTAATCACTCACACATGCCAGCAGTGCCAGCAGGCATAGGCAGCAGGCAGAAGGAGTGACTGAGTCCGAGAGAGCAGGCATGGCAGGTGGAACCCAGCAGTCAGACAGAGCGCGCAATTTGCTGCCTGCGATGCGATGCGACGCGACGCGGGGTTGTGGGTGACGTCGCCGACGTTGTTGCTGCCGTCGCGTCATAAAACGGCACAAAAAGCTAACACGCGTAAACAAGCAAGGCAGCAATAAAATGCCAGCAGCAAAAACGAGAGAGAAGCAGCAGCAGCAGCAGCAGCAGAGATAGCCAGACGTAGATAGCGAGAGTGGGAGAGCAGCAGAATAGAGAATACAGTCGCGGGCAAAGTAAAAGTAATAGTGAGAATGACAATGAACTTATGCATTTTGCCGTGACTGTAGTTGAAAATACAGTAAGTTTTCGGTGGAGCAATCGACGTGATCGTCTGACTGGCAATTTGCCGATCCTATCACAAATCGAATAATCAAAAATATAAATAGTTCTACATTTCTATAATAAAACGTTTTATCGAATTCTGAGTCTTGTGGTGTGTCCAAAAATTGTGTTTTCTTTGAGTACTATTCCTATGCCCGCCGCTGTATGAGCACACTCGCGTAAACTCGTATGCGTGCAACAATGCGCAGCAAAGTAGGCAATCAACGCTCTGTGAAGGACGTTTGTTGCAACATCGACAAAAACAACAACAATCGATTGTGTCTAGTCATGCTCACGACATCCATTTGCTGACTGGCTTACCCCAAAGTGCTGCAACATTGATTGATTCGTCAATCAGTCATTATATCATCAAAATGGCTAAAAATACTTGATGAAATGTATCTAAGCGTAGTGATTTCTCCAAAGAATTTCAGATTTAACGGTGAGACAATATCTTCCATATACAGATGAGTGAGCACTCACGATCGCTGATGATCTGATAATTTTCGAATTTAAAATTTCAAATGATGTTCTATGAGTCAGTCTATGAGCATAACTACTACGATTTTTGCTGAACCCAAAAAACAAATGTGAAACAGAAGATCATATTTATTAAAACCTTGAGAAGGCTTTACCGATTTAAGAGATTCCTTTAAACTTGGATAACAATCAAAATGGAAATATTTAGGTGACAAGAATACAGATTTTAAAAATTTTTAATGATGGGATATGCTTTAAGCTGTGGTGGGGAGGCTTTTTGCACTCTCGGTTCCGAGGCTCGGCCTCCAACACATTTTTTCGAACTGCACTACTGCCTCCACGCACGAAATGTATTTTATTTTTGTGCATTCTTGGAGCAACGGGAACAAGATCTTTTCAAGTAATTTTTGGGAGATCTCTTATATGTTCCCATTATTTGTACGATTTTAAGTGATACTCATCGAATCGAATGTGTCCTTTCGCTTATGGGATCAATGTATATATATTTCGGATCATTCTGCAAATAAATTCTTACGCTTACGTGTATGCTAGCTCCCCACTAACCTTCTTCTCTACCTCTCTCTTGAAGCATGTCCACAGATAATCCCACACATCTGCTGACCACGCGGGATCTTGGCCAATTGCGTGGCCAATTACAGACGACAGCAGCGCCAGCGACGGCAACAAGTGGCGTACATGGATACCGCAACATAATTCCCCCACCTATCAGCACCTCAGCAACAGCAACAGCAACAGCACCAGTAGCAGTAGCAATAGCATCAACAGCAGCACCAGTATCAACAGCATCTTCCGTAGTAACAGAAGCATCATCATCATCAGCATCATCCACCACCACGAGCAGCAACAGCAACAGCGGCAGCATCCATCACGGAGGTGGCAACATGCAGTCCACCAGCTCAAAATATGTCGTCATTCAACCGAACCACAACGGCGGCTTCACGGCCTACGATAGCAGTGCCACTGCAGCAACCACGATGCCCACGGGCGGAGGCGGTGGTGCCGGTGGCGCTGGAACGGGTGGAAATATTGTTCTTTTAGCCGCCGAGCCCCTGGAAATGGGTTCGGCAGACGCATTGGCCGCCGCTGCCGCTGCGGGAGCGGACGATGGAGAGCTGCGCTCCTTGTCGTGGCTGAGCGACAGCAATCTGATCAAGGGGATTGTAACGAGCAGCGGCCCCACAACGGCCGCATCGCAGGCGAAACGGACAGCGGCTGTGGCCCTCAAGGCTCCTGCGGGGGGAGTCTGCCTTGTCGGCGATCTCATTGAGGAGCTGCCGCCAAGCAGCAACGATATTCCGGAGACGGGAGACCAGCAGGGGACGCCCGGGGGCGTTTACAGCACCACAACAGTGCACAAGGGACCCAGCGGCACCACCACAGTGGTGGAGTACAAGGCCACAAAGACGACGACGACGGCCACACGAACAAGCTACATGCCTGTGGTGGTGACCAGCAGTAGCAGCAGCAGCAGCAGCAGCAGCAGCATCACACCAGCAGCACAAGCCACCATTTCACCCGCCAAGCAGCAGCAGCCCCAACAGATCTTTGTGACCAGCAATGGGACGGGTGCAACAACATACAAGACCTCTTCCCCCACATCCATGGCCACGGTCTCTGTTTCGTCCGCCCCACCGTGCTCCCCGAATAATAATATCAACCACCACAACACCACCACCCACCATCCGCACAAGAAATATCTGCGGGAGAAGATGAACGTCCATGTGGACCACAGCAGCCATGTGGCCTCCACGGTGACGGTCGTCAGTTCGCCTGCATCCTCAAACAATTCATCGCTCAGCTCCACCTCCGCTTCAACCTCCGCCCTGTCCATGTCGGTTAATGGATCATCGGCCGGCATAAATGGCGCTGGGAATAGTCCAGGGCCCAAGGCCGCCAACAGCTTCACGACCGTTTACGAAACGGTTAAGTTCTCTGGAGCTGGGACAACGCCCTGCAGCATCAGCAACCCCAGCCAAAGCAACAGACAGCACCTGCCCGATCAGACGACGCTGATTACCCCAACGGCATTGATCAGTACCTCGCCCATGACGGGCTATAGTTTTGTGCATCATCTCACCGGAACGCCGCATGTCATGTTAGTATCTCATGGATCTCTGCCTCTAGGGTGGCAATCAATAAAATTAGTCTTTCTTTCTCTCTCTGGTTTTTGGCAGGGCTTCGACCGCACCATCGGAGGCGACTCTGGGAGGAGGCGGCAGCATCTATTACACCAATGCCACGCCAATGCAACAACAGCAGCACCTGCAACAGCAACAGCAACAGCAACAGCAGCGTGGCATGCATGTCTCTGTGTCGCCGCCACCGACGGCCGTCAATGCAACAATGGGGGGTCATAATGGATCTAATGGAGCATTGAATCTGCGAAGCCCCAATAGCTACAGCAGCTACGACAATGAGGATTCTCTGAAGGAGTTCGACATGACATTGAACTCCAGGATGCATACTAGCACGCCCCAATATGTGGCAGCGGCAGCCAAGAGCAGCAGCTACAGCAACAACGCCAACAGTTCCTCCAACACCACCAACGGAGGAGGAGGCGGTGGTGGTGGCGGTGGCGGTGGTGGTGGCGGTGGTGGTGGCGGTGGTGGTGCCGGTGCCGGTGCCGGCAACACACCGCAAAAGCAAAAGCATCCCAACAATGTGCCATATGATCCGCTAGTGCATACAAACAACAAGCCGCCATATAGCTTTAGGTAAGACCCAAGCCGATCCTCTCTTAGATTCGATTTTAATTTGATTTGCATTTTTCTCTGCAGTTCACTCATCTTTATGGCCATTGAGGGTTCGAACGAGAAGGCGCTGCCTGTAAAAGAGATCTATGCGTGGATTGTCCAGCACTTTCCATACTTCAAGACGGCCCCCAATGGCTGGAAGAACAGTGTGCGGCACAATCTGTCGCTGAACAAGAGTTTCGTCAAAGTGGAGAAGGCCCCCAATATGGGCAAGGGCTCGTTGTGGCGCGTAGAGCCGCAACAGCGTCAAAATCTCATTCAGGCCCTCAATCGGTCAGGCCCATTCTTTCCGAATTCAGCGGTGGACAAGATCAGTACGTCGCTGAAGAGTCCCAATGGACAAGGGGCGCCCCAATCATCCGGTGGATATGATGGCCTTGATGGAGTGGCTGCCTCCGGCGCCGCTGCCTCCGCCAATGGAATAGGAATGGGCTGTGGCAACTCTGCGGCTCCAGTGACACTGGCCACACCCACAAAAAGCAATGGCCTGGTGCTCGCCAATGGTGGTGCTAGTCAATCGGCCGCCATGCCAAACAGTCCAACATCAAACGCTGGCGGAGGAGGGAGTGCCAGTCATGCGCGAGTCGATCCGAAGCTGTTTCCCTATTTGTCCAAGGCCTTCCGCAAAATCCGCGAAGATGGTGGGCCGCCCACTCAGCAGCTGCTCCTCAGCGATGTCCTCGATGACGATGTTTCCGGCGAATATGCTGGCAACCACAACCACAACAGCGGCAGTGGCAGTGGCAGGTACGTCTATGTGGGAAACGGAGGGGCTACTGCTGGCCCCAATGGAAGTGGGGATGGCATTAACTTTGAGCGACTGGCCCGCGATTGCGGGGCTGACAGCATGGACGACGTGCATGCTGCGGCGGCCATGCTCTTCCTCAAACACGGACCAAAGGCCTTCACTGAGTCTTTTCAAAATGGGTAAGCCACATGACGATCACTTAATCCGACAGATCTTGTAATCTCTACCTCTCTCTGTCTCTCAAAGGGCCCCAGTGATTACAAGTTCTCCCAGCGAGGATCACACTTATTCCGCGGGCGGCAATAGCAATGCGGACAGCGGCGCCTCCACCCCACTCACCAATGGCAATATCCTGGCGGGGCAGACGCCGGCCCAGCTTCAGCTGCAGGCGCAGGCCAATGCCGGCGGAGGATCGGACAGCAATTGCGCCAGCTCCGATGCGGCCTACGACAGCAGCGAGGAGAAGTGAGTCTCCTATTGCGTGGGGTCCTTGAAACAAATCAACCTAATTCTGCTCCCTCTTCTCCACAGCCACAACATCACGCCCGAGGAGTTGGCCGATCAGCAGCGACATCGTGATGGTGTCGACGCATTGCTCTCGCTGTCGCGCTCATCCATCGTCGAGTGCGGGTCGGTGGCCACCACGCACTATCACAGCAACGGGAGCAGCGGAAGCAGTCACGGCTCCCCGCACAAGCGCCCCTCCAGCCACAGTCTCGAGGAGGAGCACGAGCACCTCCTCCTGCAACAGTACCAGCCACTGTTGTCGTCCTCGCCACAGGCTGTCTACACGAATGGCAGCGGCAGCAAGATGGCACTCCTCAGCAGTGCCGCTGCCAATGTGGCGTTGGCCCAACAGCAGCAACAGCAGCAGCACCACCATCAGATCAATCAAATTCAGCAGCAGCAGCAGCATCAGCATCAGCATCAAATACAGCAGCACCAACAGCATACAGAGCTGTACGGCAGCGTGAGTGGCAGCTATTTGGCAGGATTGAATCATTGCCTGCCCGCTGCAACGGGAGCTGGAGGACAGGCGGCCATGTTGCCCCAACATCTCACTGCTGTGATGGCAAATGCTGCGGCCAAGAACAAGGTGAAGCCCCTGCGGGGCTTGCGTACAAAGATCAAGAGGAAGTCTGCATGGATGCGGTGAATGTGGCGCCAGGCCGGAGGCAGGCGGAGGACCGTCTCCTAGCCTCCACAGCCCCTCGCATGTCCCCTCCATGGCCACGTCCCCTGTGTTGTTGTCTCTTTCTAATTGCAAATTGTTCAAATCAGAGCATTTAGTCGTAAGATTTAGTAGACTCCCTCGCCTGCTCGCCCTTTCTTCTCTTTTATTTTGAATGTGTGCGTTCCTCCTCTAATCCTTGTGTTTGTTATACAAATTAATGACTATTTTTTGATAGGTTTTTAGTTTAGTCTTTAGACGTCTTTTGGACTTGATTCGGGTCCTCGATTGTCGGCCATTTCATCAATATTTGACAATTCTTTTACACACACACACACACACACGTGTTATACAAATCATCTATAAAAAAAAAAAATCCTAAACTTTAACGAATTGTAATTAATTTATAGCTTAAATAATTTTAAATATCTTTTGCTTCCCAACATTGGTTGTTTCATTATTCTTTTTTTTTTAATTTTTTGTTTAGTCTGTAATCCTTTTTAATTGTTCAAAAATGTTTTTACAACAAGGAAAAAAATGAAGGAATCGAAAAATTATGTATTGAAAATCGAAAATTCTTTCAGAAGAATATTATCTTAAGATTTTGCATAGAATGGTGGTGTAGAATGTGGCTCCCAAGCACTTCTCTCATTGTTCTTGAATGCACAGCCCCGGATCTTTTCGGCTTTATTTCATAATTTCCAGCGTATCAGAGGGAGAGACAGGGTTTACATATATCAAACGACAGACAGACAAAGGAAACAATCACAAAAATTCTTTAAGTAGGAAAAACCTCAACAAAAGAATGAAATGAGAAATAACAAAACAAAACAAACAAAAACAAAAAAATGGTAAAACAAAGAAACCAAATAATTATTAAATAAAAAAACAAAAAGCAAGAAATTGTAACAAAAAGAAAAAGTAAGAAATTGTACAACAAAAGAGAAAGCAAAACATTTCTAAAAAAACAAACAAAAAACGAAGGCATAATATTTGTTAAAGGAAAGGAGAAGAAAAGAGAAGAATGAAAGTGTACAAAAAAGATAGTATGAAATTGTAAAATGTAGAAGAAACAAAGCATAAACATTTTAAAACAAGGAAAAAAGTAAAAACAAGAAACAAAAATTTTGTACAAAGCAAAAAATGATAAAATTTTTTTTTTCGAATTTGTTGTTTTCTGCTTTAAGCAAGGTGTTTTTGATACAAATAAGAACCACACGCAAACACACACATGCATGTAAAACTACTTAAATGATCTATATAAATATATATATATATATATATACCGAAGAGAGAGAGAGAGAGAAAACAAGAGAGAGATAGTAGTACATAAGCAGGAAGCCCAGACACACTTAGCGCCTTATGAATCGAGTCCTTAGCAAAAGTTGAATGAGAGATGGTGAGATCTGTTAAGAATTGTTTGAACTGCTTTGTTATACGGATATGCGATCTATATATAGATATATACTATATACTGCTAGAACACACCCAACACGATGACACTCAAGAAAAAATGTTAAATCAAAGATATTTAGATATATGTAAGTTAAAGCCACAAAGCAAATGCGAAACCCTAATTAAGTAAGGCCATCCCCCTTCCCCCTCCCCTCTAATGGTTACGTAGTTGAAATACTAAAAAATTGTTAATCAGACTGTAAGCAGACTTTAGTTGAAATCGGGACCCTGTGCCCCCTCCAGAGCCTACAGCGGAATGTGTATATACCCGAAATGCCTCGAAAGAGCCGTTAAAACGATGCTGCAATCTATACAAAAAAACAAAAAAAAAAAACAATCCTGTATATATATATATATATATATATATCTAACGAACAGAGGAGGGACGAGAACTGGACAAAGAACGCCCCAAGTGTATACACTTCATGTACCTTTTTAGCAAAAAAGCAAAGAACGCATTAAAAAGTTATATAATTAAACTAAAAACTAAAACTAAACTAAATGTTGATGTCAAAGAAACCAATCTGCTAGTTGTTGCAACAAAAAGAAACACAAACAAATGAAACAAATGTTAAAATTTTTTTTTTGTTTGCTCAAAAATCTTAATATTACGATTCATTTAATTATTACTATTATTTTTTAGTTTAATGCGAGAATGGCTTTGAAGCGCATGTGGGATAGGGGAACGGTGTGTGTGGAGGAGGAAAAACATCAAAATAATTATATAACTAATCTTAAGGGCCCGGCCCCCTCTCCGAGCCCAACCACACCACAACATGCCACGCCACGATCATCCATGCCCCGCGAAAGACAATCGCCGCACGAATTGTTGTCGTTTTTCGCTTAAGTCTAAAAAAGTTGAAAGTTCTATGTAGCGATAGGACACACAACCTACACTCTACACATATAAATATCTATATACATACACACACGGCAATAGCAAAGTACATACATACATATATAAATATTGTTATAAACCATTAAGCTTTATTGTTTATACACAAACACACATATATATTATACATATATATATATATATACATACTAAATCAACGGATAAAAAAAGAGAGAGCAGGTGGAGACTATCCGCCTGATCTGATCTGAACCGATCCGATCTGATCCGATACGGTACGATGGTACTATACCCTTCTTCTGCCCGCGATGAGCAAAACTGTTTTGTTAATGTGTTTTTTTTTCTTATATTTTATTATTATACAACATCATTATTATTATTATTACTATTATCTTTGAGATATATATATATACATATATGTATATATATATTTGATTTTAAAACTTTTTTTGCATACCAAATACACACAAATCAAAATGTGAAATAATTTCGTTTGTTTCGTTATGTTTTTGTGTATGCCGGAACCGACTGAATCGGGAATCAATATGTGAGGGGAAGTCAGAGACCGATTAGTATCTGTAAGAAGAGAGCATCGGAGCACCGGAGCACCGGGTGTTGAGGCGAAACGTAGCGCGCTTTCCGACTGGCTTTTTAATACAGAAGAGGACGGGTTCCCTAATAATGGATCGACGGTGATATAGTAAAGCTCTATCTCTCTCTAAAGAAAGACGTCCGGCCATGGTGATGGCCATCGATACACATTCATCATGTGCTTTTCCTTCGTTGACGGGTCGTGAACTGTGAATATAGTCCATAGTTGTACATACTTATATTTAGATAACTATTTAGGGGAGATCCGTAGGATCGATAGATGTCGGTTTATGTTTAGCTATTGTAAGTGCCTGCCCTTGGTACCCGCTCCACTGATTGAAGCTTTGATTGAACGCCGCACTGTTGCCAGTTTTCACGGATTTGTTAGTGGAAGTGTTAGCTTGAAGCCTCGCTCCGCAAGCCCCGCCTTTGATATAGCCTTGTTGTATGCCATAAACACACACACACACACACACACACACACACACACACACACACACACACACACACACACACACGCAAAGTCTACAGGGTATCGCAAGAAACATGTATATCTCGAAGCAATCGAATAGAGAGCCGTCTCTATGTCACTTTTGAAAAACCTTTTTGTGCGATCTGATATCTACTTATATAGCACATACATAAACACAAACATATGTACATACACATATATATCTCTGAAGAATAGGATGATCAATCTGTTTGCCCTCCAAGGTTTCAAATAGCGCCTGTTTTTATGTCTCTAAAACCTCTGTACAAAAAAAAAGAATAACAAAAAACAAAAAAAAAACACAAAAGTATAGAAAAATGAACAAAATATATCGAGAGTTTACGACAACAACAACAAACCCAAAATAACCCAAACAAAAATATAAACAAATTAAATATGAATTATATTTATATATATACAATACATATACATATGTGTAAACGAAAGCAAAGACAAATTGGATGAGAGCTAAATGTTACCCTGTATTTTTTTAGAAATAACATTTTTCTACTTTTTGGATTGATGTAAAACCAAAAACCAAAAACACAAAAAAAACAAACAAGACACAAAAACCAATTGAAATGAAAGCATCCATTTGGTTATCGTTTGTTGCTAAATTATATAAAAAATACCAACCAAAAAAAGGTATGAAAAAACCAAATGCTACGCAGATTTGGGACTGACCTTTGGGCCTGCATCACTGTGTATAAGCGAATTGTGTATGTCATACAATAAATAAACTATTCACCACCCATCTGCTGATATCAGCTTACAGCTCTGTCTTGGATAAATACTTTTAAGTAGCCAACGAGGCTTAAACCTTTCAGATTTCTCCGTAATACCGCATCTTTGGTCTTTCTTCGGTTTCTATGGCTTGCTGGAAGTCGAGTCTGTTAAATATCTACCAAATACCTGCAGAAGAAACTGGCCGCAGGTTCCACAGAATCCGAACGAGGACATAAAATTAGTGGTGTCGCTCGTACGGCTCCCGCTGGTATCTGTCGATGAGCTGTTACGTGTGGTGCGTCCTTCTGAGCTCGTCGAGCCGAACAAAATCCTCGACGCCGGTCTGCCCCCGAAGACTAATAATATGCCTATCCGTGCACCAATTATCCGGACGAGGCTGTGACCAGTATGAAATCTCCTAGGGATGGGATCTTCATCGAGCTGACTTGGTGGTAGTTCATTAACAGCATATTTATGTGATTATCCATACATTGGGAATACATAGTTAAAAACAGAAAGCAGGTTGGGAACTATGCCGCCCGCGACGAGGCTGAAATATATACACATATTATATATTATATTATTATTATTTTTGTTATGTAAAACATATGTAGAAACTGTCTTCAGGTCTGAGTTGTTGAAGTTGTTATAATGTTCAATACCCAAAGTGGAAGGTGGATCCAAAAGTATCTTTTGTATGGTGGTCATAAGGGAGATTGCAAAAGTTTTGAAGCTGTTTTCGCTTTTATTTCTTGTTTATTTATACTCGTATATCGCAGAACTAGTTTTTTTTAGTATCTATACTGAGAATTTTAATGTGCGCCCCTTTACAGCCCGAAAGCTTTTGAACGGGCGCAGCTTGGAGTGGTTTGATCTCTTGATCAGTATGGATCAGCGTAGATTACTTCGTCACTAAAACTGACGGTCCGCTCAGTGTCGTCGGAGGGCGGTTCCTCGGGGTCTTCGATGGGAAAGAGACCAGAGTGATTACTTGGTGTGGGCCAATCGGCCATGTCGCCAATATCTTCATATTCTGCAGGCGACTGCGAGGAAGACGATTCCTCCGATTCCGATATGTCGTTGGGCAGTCCTGGTTCGCTCCTCCGACAATTGACGTCGAATGGGAAGAGGTGTAGGCCGAGCTGCTTGTAACGCTTCATGCACTCTAAGAAGTTCTGCCGGCGAGTTGCCGTCTCAGACAAGCTCTGCTGGACCGATCGGTGGTCGATGCTGCGCCTCTGGTCCGTGGTGGAGCTGCTGTCCGAGTCTCTGTCTGTACTGCAGCCCGAGTCGTAGACCTGCTGAGGCTCGAAAATCTCCTCCTCCGAAGCGTTGGAGCTCTCCACGTGAAGCTCCAGCAGATGGCCGCTGGCACGCTCCTGTTCCATGCTGCGGTCGAGTAACACTTGCCTCCGCTGCTGACTGAGTTCCAGGTGCAGGGACGAGAGGTCCTCGGTAAGCGAGTCAGTTAGGCAGGTAACTTCCTCGTTGCGAATCAGTCCCCAGCGTACGGTGCACGGTATGTGGAATGGCATTAGGACGCAGAGTTTGGCCACCAGGCACTTGATCATGCGCATTGTCTGTAAAGGGTGTGTGGTACGGATCAGCTAGGGCTGTAGAGGATTGGAATGGGGATGTGGATGTGCGCAGTGGGCTCACCTCGCTGTAGGTTTTCTCCGAGAGGGGTTGGAATATCAGCTGATTGGTGACCCTACGCAAACATTTTTGTGCCCCAGATAACTCGTGCAGCTCGCTGCGCACCCTCTGCGGAAGATATTGGAGGAAATATAGTAAATACAGTTAATGGTAAAGGGCAAAGAATTTGTGAACGAGTGGGTACTGCTTACCATGTTCATATCGCTGCAATTCTCGCCTTCAACGAGCTGGTCGAGCAGGTCATAAAACTTGCTCTGGGCCGCACTAGCCCGCGAGTACATCACGGCCCGTTGAGTCTTGAACTTCTTGAGGGAGTCTTCAGCGAGCTGATAGAGATCCTTGTCGAGGCGCATATTCTGGTCCAGATAGGCAATGGCCTCGGCAAAGTGGTATCGGTCCAGCGGTTGTCCCAACAGTTCAGCCTGCTCTTCGCTGCCAAAGAGTAGCGGCTCCATATCGCGAAAGCCCGTTCGACGGAACTCCATTAGCCGACGGCTGAGCTGTGCGCAAAAGTCCTCCTCACCCTGTACGGCCTCCACCACTTCCACCAACTCGCCCAGCAGTCGCACCTTGTTCAGTCTGCCCATCAGCCCCACGTGGCGAGGCGATTTCTCACCAGTGGGCTGGGCGTTAAGCTCTGGTAGTAATCCACGCAATTGGCCAGCCAAGTGTGGCCTTGCCAGCAGATGGGGCAACGAGTGAATGGACTGGAGATTAAGGGATGGCGGCGGCAACCCATCTATGTTCACCCTCGGGGGCTCCCCGTGATCACGATCCCGACGCTCATACTGCTCCGCAATGTTGGTGCTGGCCGGTGACGTGTTAAGCGTCAGCACGGAGGTGGTATCCGATAGTGAGTTGGCCGAAAGGTCCTCATCCTGAGCCAGGGACTGCCATGCCCTTACCTCTCCATCGACATCGGCACCTGGGAGGGCATCATTGTAGCGCTCCATTATGTGGCGCAGCTCGTCGCGCACATCTTCGGCGCCATAGTGCTCTGTGAAGTTGTCCTCTATCGCATCTGTGTCCATCAATGCGAGCCAGGGAGACGACTCCTCGTGATCGCCATCTCCGTTTGGTGGCAGCGCGTGACTCCCGTTACTCATTGCGATACAGAGGTGATGTAAGAGATCAGAGACCAAAAATTTAAAAGTTCATTAAGGAATTTTGAGAAAAGTTTTGTCTAAAAGTCGTGAGACTAAATCGATATCGAAAAAAACTAAAGGGAAAAACCAAACAAATCTCTGAAACTGGGAATTTAGAATGGGCGCCTGCTGTGCTATAGCGTCCTTAGTCGCACGTTGGCTGGTAGCCCGACAATATAGACAAGGCCACATCAATACTCAAGAAGCTCAAGCGAAGGAATAGCCGCCAGGTTTCCGCCCAGACGTATCAGCTGCAGTCGCACGCGGGAACAGGAGACCCAGAATGGCAGCTACTCCATCCTCGATATATATGTACGTTGCACTATGCCGATGCGTTCGATCCGGGACCTTCGTGGGGGCACACACAAGGTTCGAGAAAAATTGCGATTTTCGCAATTTGATTTTCGCTGTTTGAGTTGCTGTCTTACCAACATCTCCCTCTCTCCCCAATTACCAATAAATCAATTCGTCCCTTCTGGGAACGGATACTATCATCCATTTTTGAAAGGCCTGCGTACGTATAGAACAAATAAGTATGTTCCGGTTTTCGTAAAATATTTGCTTACGATTTCAGACAAATTCGTGCAAATTAAATATATTACGATGTAGAAAAATAAATTTCCAATTAAATAAAGAAAGAGATAGCTACGAGTATAATAACTATTATCATCGATAATAACTGCAAAAAGTTCACTTCAAAAGCTTTATACTGCACCCAAATGGAACTTATTCCAGACATGGAGGGCAAATATCTGGAGTCTGAAGTTTCAGAACTTAAGTCCTACGCTTTCTTCAAGAAAATGTACCCAAAGAAGTTCGGGGGTATTGGATGAGCTGAGATCTACCTTTAACACAGATCGAAACACAGCCATAGTAACGCATCTTCATGGACCCCAATTCAGAAACCAACGAACAGTTTTCAATACCTTCAAAACGAATAACGAATCATAACAGTCGGGATACAGTCAGCTACACACTGAAAAGGATCTAATTTTATGCTGTTCCGGAAACATATCGAGTGTTAGGTTCTATTGCTATTTAAGGATTGTGCGATCCAGGATCACGAAGCTGACGACGAGCTCGGCGCTGACACACATCACTGCCGCCGCGTTGTTCCACAGTCCACAGTAGTTGGGGGCCGTGAAAATGCTGATGAGGCGTCGGTTGGCAAACATCTCGTAGCCATCCTCGACGACCTCGTGGGCGCGGATCATCAGGTCCAAATTGTAGGATGCGAGAAACTCCGTTATGATCTTCTCGTCGTAGGTGAAGCTCACGCCTCGGTCGTTGTGGCCCCAACCGAAGCCAGTGCGGTTCAGGTCCGCCCATAGAAGGTCACAGAGCAAGCCCTCTTTGGGGATGTCCGTGGGGCGGGGGAGGTTCCGGATCTGGTCCAGGCTCTGGAGTGAAGGGCTCAGGCCGCCGTGGCAGCAGAAGATACGGTTAGCCACGACGGCGGCCACCGGAAAGCAGTCGAAGCAGTCGGTGAATTGGCGCCACGTTCGTACGTTGTGGCGCCGCTTTATCTCATCGTAGAAGCCATACAGACGCGTAATGCCAGCGCACTCGTGATTGCCGCGCAGCAGGAACAAGTTCTCAGGATAGCGCACCTTATAGGCCATCAGCAGGCAGATGGTCTCCAGCGACTGCTTGCCCCTGTCCACATAGTCGCCCAGAAACAGATAGTTCGTTTGCGGCGGAAATCCACACGCTTTGAAGACTCGAAGCAGATCTGTGAACTGGCCGTGCACATCGCCGCACACCTTTATGGGAACATCCAGCTCCAGGAGCATCGGCTGTTTCAGAAACACTTCGCGCGCCTCTCTGCACAGCGCCACGATCACCTCCTTCGACAGGGTGCAGTTCTCCCCGCCCGTCAATCCGGTTAGTTCCTGGATAATCTGGTCCAATTTTGTCTTGTCCAAGCTCATCTTTATACTAGAATTTCCACAAATATTCAAAGTGTAACCCGGTTTTTTGAAACGCTCAATTTGTCAGGGTATACAAAATAAAATAGTCTTTGATATTTTTCGCATAGACTCCCGAGTTATCGGTTGCCAGAGCTCGAAGAAGATCTCAATGATTTGATTTATGAAAATTAATTTTTAGATAGCAGCCAGAATAGTTGTTGTCTGCTCTGGCATCTGGCGTATGTAAGCGATACGGCTTTCCGGACTTCCAGTACTGAAGATGTGTGGATTGGCGTAACACCCATAAGGAAGCGTATACATATTTATTATTAGCATCAATAATCGATTTGATATGACTATATCCTTTTCGAGGCCTACAACGTTACAGCCCGTTATTTTCTAAGAATGTGTGGAAAACATGCAAAGTTTTCCACGAATTTTCCAGCTCCAGCTGCCATTTCATACGATACACTGTTTTATAACAGTTCTGATGATTACTCGCCCCACGAATTAGGAATGAAGAAGCTTTCGGAAGAAGCGTACTTAAAGATGGGTGAGGTCCAACCTTGGAACTGTATCGAAATTCCCTCCTGTTCTACGTTCTCCCAGACCATTACCCATTACTAATACTAGCCATTCGATTGGAATACAGTAGATTCGTCTTTATTGAATTTGATTTCTCTGTTCAGTTTTACATGCTATATAAACTAGTTTATTAATCATATTATTAATATTTATATTTGCATTATTTCGTGCGTCTCTTCACCGTCGCCTCCATCTCTTCCTTTGCCACTTTGTTAATATAATTTTTTTTTGATAATTGTTTTTGCAGCAGTGTGGGTTTCTGTTTTCATTTGATTTTATTTGCAAAATGCTCGTTTCGGGAGTACTCGTACTTTCAATGATTCAAATCAAAGATCAATTACGATTTAGCTTAGGTTTAAAAAAAAATATGCCTTTTTTTTATTCAATGCTCGTGTGCATTTATACAAGAAATGCTACAAAAAAATGTGTGTGTGTTCGTGTGTGTGTGTATATGTCTCGTTTATGCTTATTTTTGGGTAAATTTTCTTGTTGGATTGCTTAGATCTTAGAAAATGGTATCGAGGTTTGCCAAAAATTGTTTATTCTTAAGTTTAGTTTCTATGTATGTATATATATATAATATATATATATGTATATATATCTATGTATGGTTTTCTTGCATTTAATTTCGTTTATATGTATGTATATTTTTGATATTTTTGCTGCTTTGGTTTTTGTTTTTTTGGGCACATTTTGCTAATATTCTTTAGAATCTTAATTTTTGTTAGTTTTTATTCTGTCATCATCATTTTTTATTGCTCTTTTTGTTTTTGTTTTTGGGCGGATTTCAAACTGAAAAACGGAGCTGGTTCTCGTTAAGATCATTGTTGGTGGAAAACTTAGGGGTTGCCGGCTTTCGGAGAATCGCTGTGTGTTAACTACGGTTTTATCTTTCAACTATCTTTATATGTCTATAGAGATTTGCATGTATATACTATATCGGTTTATCAGTTGGTTAACTTTATCTGGCTATATCAAGACATGGTGCCCCCATGGGTTGGGTTCTGTTTCGCCTTTGCGTTCGGTTTCGTGTCTTGTAAAATAACTCGCATATTAATCGTATTATTAATTGTAATGCTTTAAACATAATATTGATATGGTCTGGTTTTTCTGTTTTCTTCTTAGGTTCTTAGGTTCCTCTCTTTTCCGGAGGTGAAATCTCAGGTTTCACTATGGTTTCTCATATGTACAGCTACAGGGGCTAAACGCGGGGTTGAACGAGGGGGGATACTTGGCATTGATTAAAAATTGTATATCCGTATCAGTATGTGTGTGTCTATTTTTGTGTGTTTATGTGTGTGTGTATATCACCATGGGCTTAAATTCATTCATATTCATATTCATATCCGTATCCATATAGATGTACATACATATGCAACCCTCCTTAGAACTTTCTACAAAAGTTGAGCTTAAAAAACTGCAATTGCTCACAATTAATTATCTTTTCATTTGGAGTATAAAAAGTAGAGCACATTCTCTCCTGTTCTCGTTCTTGTTCTTGTTGTTGTGTGTTTTTAAATTGGAAGGATATTTTTCATAATTTCATAATTACTAAGATCGATTTGCATATACTCGTACCATTTCATCTCATCTCATTTCATCTCATATAATTTCATAATTATTTTGTATATATTTACAGCTCATGTTTTGATTTAATCAATTGTGTTTTTATCTTCTTTTCTTGCTTGATCGAGTTTAAAATTAATTACGTATGTTTCTCCCTCTGCTCTGCCTGCCTAAGGATCTATGGATCTATGCAAAAAATTTCATCTGCCTACGTGACTATACCATATACCATATACCATATGTATATGTATTTGTGTGTTTGCTTCAATATATTTTGCTTTATTTATGTATTCTGTTGCTTTAATTTACTTGGCTAGCACCGCATATTATGTATTTATATGTGACTATTTATATATATGTGTGTATGTGTATGCATTTGCATAAAAATGCTGCTCATGCATATATTTGTATATATAAACATATGGCTCAGATGGCTTGTATAGCAGGAGAGCTCTCCTATTTCCATATCCCTAAAAGTATGCTATATCTGAGCCAATCTTTGCGTGTATGTATGTGTGTGCGTGCGAGTGTGTGTTTGTGTTTATAAGGGTGGGTTGTGGGCGGGTTCAGGAAGGGATACGAGATTTATAAGAGATTGCGAGTACTTTCGTTCCTCAGCGGCATCCGATTTGCTAAGTGAAATCAAAAGGCCTTTGGATTCGGAGCAAGGATTCGTTGGTTTTTCTTGTGGAAAATTTGTGGAAAATAAAAAAAGGATTCTCGATGGGTTTTTTTTTCGTTTAATAAAACATTTTTATTTGATAAAGTTTCGTTCATGTTCATGTATTATTGGTATGTTGTTTGCTTTTGTTTTTTCTTCTTTTCTTCCTTCCTTCGTCTATATATATATATCATATATATCATATACATATATATATATTATAATAATTACAATAATAATAATAATAATAATAAAAATACAAAGACAAAAAAGTTGTGTACTACGAAATAATTAGAACTAAAAGTTGCGAACAATTTCATCGTGTCGTGTGGGTTTTCTGGGGGTGGGGTCTTCTCAGGGGTCCCGGTCCCACCATCATTGTATTCCATATTTTGTATATATATTTTATATATATATTTACTTTCATATATATTGTTTATCATATCCATATTAGGTGTAATTTATCCATTAGCTAAAGCGTATGAAAATGCAAAGTATTTAACACGTTTACTTAAACACAAACAGGAGGAAAGGAAATGTCGATTGGAAAAACTATATATATGTACATATGTCTATATGTATATATATATAAATTAAAGAAGATCTCAACAGATTTGCTGACACTTGTCTTTTGCATATTTTTTAAATATTGGCTTAATATTTTTGCTTTACGTTTTTTTTTTGTTTTGTTTTATTCTTGAATAAATTTTGTTTGGAGACGCAAATTGTATTTTTTTAGGTATCTGAAATGTGTTTGGTATATGTTGGTATTTTTTCGTTTCCTTATTTCTTTCTTCTCCTTCTCCTTCCTTCTTCAAACTCTCCAATTACTTTTCATATATATGTATGTAATAATAATAATAATAATAATAATAACGCGGCAAATTTCGGGCCTATGCAAAAATGTTTCTTATTCTTGTGTATTTTTAATTTATTTAGTTTTGCTGTTGCTTTTATTTTAATATTTTCTTTTTGGTTTTGAGAAATTGATTTTTATGCTTAAATATTTAGCCTAAGAAAAAAAAGGTTGCATTAAATATTCTTAAAAATGGTTTGGTTTTTTCTTGTTGTTGTTCGTTTTTAGGAAAACAGATTCATTTTTTTTGTGGTTTTTTCTTGCTTTCGGTTTTTATTTTTGAAATTTGTTTAATTTTACGATTACCTTGTAAACTTAGGCTCTAGGCAAAAAAAAAATTGGCTCTCTTAGATTAGGGTTTTTAAATGTTTGTTGTTGTTGTTTTTTTTTTTGCTTTTTTTTGTTTGCTTTTTTATGTAATTTCTTTAGTACGATATGCGGTTTGTGTTTTAAAGTTTTTCGTGTTTTGTTTTCGCTTCCATCTCGAAATATATGAGTGTCACAGAAGAAATTGTTGGTATTTATGCTAGGGGTTTAATGCGAATTTAAATTATCGTTAGGCTACGTTGATAAACTCCCCGATTCTCCCTCTACGCATATGATTTTTCATCTAATCATATATGTATGTATATACTATATATATATGTATACATATATATATATTTATGTATATGCATAATTATATATAGAGTAAGTAGATTATAAATAATAATTTAGTGCATTTTGCGGTTTTACTTTTGCTATAATTATGAATTATTCAATTTGTTATCATTGTGTGTGTGTGTGGGGTGTGTGTGTGTGTGTGATTTTTACGTAAATTCAAAATTTACAAAATTTATTGTTATATATTTTACGTTTCGCTCTCGCTTCCCCTCTCTTCTCTTCTATTCTTTTCCTCACAATTTTTTTCCCTTCTTCTCAATGAACTTTGAATTAAAAAAAATGTATTAAAAAAAATACAAAATTAAAAGGGAAAGGGAAAGGGGACAAACATTTCCTCGCGGCATTTTTCTTGCTTTCAACTATCTTTTACTTTGGGTTTTCTTTTCTTATTTTGCTTTCGCTTCTGCTTTATCGCTTCTCGTTTCTCCTTTCGTTTTGTGTGTTTTGCTTGAGATCAAAAGATAGTTTAACAAGTCGGGACTCAGGGGGGATCGGGAGGATCTGGTGGAGTGCGAAGGAAGAACGAAATAACGAAAGAAAGATCATGCCTCGCGAGGAGTCTATGTACAGAACGGCTTCTCCGGTTCGTTTAGTCTGTATGTACACTCAACCATTGAATAATGTGCGTAGTCCTAGTCCAATATCATCATCATCATTATTCATAATTCATTATCATAATCGTAATCATATTCATAATCGTAATCGTGTTAATAATAGATCGACAAACAAAATATATGTATAGTTATCCATCCTACCGCCTTCGCTTACAGTCTTCAAGTAGAAACAAATCAAAAAAAATCTTTGCAAGATCTCTTTCGCTATCATTGGATCTTGGCTTTTGGTTAAAGTTCTTGGGCAAGTCAGTGGGGGCCTTGTTTTTGTTTTTTGGGTAGATGGGTAGATAGGGGACATGGGGGATTGGGTGCTTTTAATACTTTTGCGCTCCTCGCATAGCGTCTCTAAACTTTTAGCTACAATTATTACAACTCCGGGCAACCAGACCTAAGGCTATCCTATCCTAAGTCCCATAGGTATTGTATTGTATTGTATTGTATGTAATATGATAAAAAAAAAACAGAAAAAAAATAGAGTTCTCTACGATCTAGGTGCTATGTATCGATATATCTAGACCGCTCGAGGCGAGTCCTGGGTCTAGGTCTACGTCTAGGTCTAAACATCCAAACTTAATCACAAGTAAACGGTCGTCTCCATCGCCATCCGCATCTGCATCTGCCTCCCCATCGTTGATCATTGCACTGTCCTAGTAGTTCCACGCGGCTGCTGGCGCGGCACTGGCTACCGCCTGGCCGGCTGCCACAGCCCCGCTGCCAGCAGCTTCTGTGGCGGCGATACAGGCCGCTGACGACTCCTCGGAGTCTGCCTGGCCTGGGGCGCCGTTGCTGCTCAGGCGGCGCACGCGCACCAGACGCAGCTTCTCCTCGTTGATCACCTTCAGCTTCTTCTCCGCCTCGCTCGCGTCGCAGTCGAGGCCACCATCCAGGTGCTGCTGCAGCTGCTGGTGCTTCTGGTCCTCCTCCTCGTCGTCGTCCTCCTCCTGCTTGATGTGCACCTCGGGTTCCATGAACCGCTGGTCGATCTCCAGCTGGGCGTGCTCGTGCTCCGAGTCGCCGCCGCCAGCCTCCACGGACTTGCCATCAGCCTCGTCCCGACCGTAGTCGGAGGAGCCCTGTTGCATCACACAGACGCCGTTGATGATGCGCTCGCTCTCGCTGCCGGCGCCAGTCTGTGCCGCTACTGCGGCTGCTGCTGCTGCCGCTGCCACGGCTGCCGCTGCAAGTCCCGCATTGGGGGTGGTGCTGCCAGCAGGGTTCACCCACTGGGGGGCCGCAGGCTTGCGGCGGGAGCTGCGCACGGCGTTGCTCATGTAGGCGGCTGCCGCCGAGGCGAGGGCGGACTTCTGCAGGATCTTCTCGTACTCGGAGACGGCTTTGTCCTCCGCCTCCTGGCCCTCCAGCGACTCGTTGTCGCTCATGTTGTGACCGCTGGCGTCCATCTCCAGGTCGTCCTGGTAGTCGTCGCTGCGCTCGCGCTTCAGCGTCGGCATGGACAGGTCCAGGCCGCTCATCTGCTCCTTGAACGCCTGGTTGAGGGCCTGCAGCTGCAGTTCATCTCCGACACCAACGCCAGCCGCACCGACGGCAGCCGCAGCGGCGGCAGCACCGGCAGCAGCCGCGGCGCCCGGCATCCCCGCCAGACTGCGTCCGAGGATAGCGGCCGCCGCGAAGTACGGTGGGTAGGGGATGGGCGCTCCGCCCAGGCCCATGCGCTCCTTGTGCAGCTCGACGAGCCGCTGCTGGAGGAGGATGCGGAACTGGACGGGATCGAAGGGGGTCGCGTTGGTGTTCTCCCGACTCGGTATGGGGTTGTCCTGGCCGGGCTGGCCGTGGGGCACCTGCTGCTTGAGCCGCATGCGGTGGTTGTGGAACCAGTTCGTGATGGTCCGTGTGGCCAGGCTGAGCTCGTTGGCCAGGAACTCGATGGTGCCCACATTGGGGTACGGGTCGAGGGCGAACGCCAGGCGCAGAGCCTCCTTCTGCTCCTCGGAGAAAAGCACGCGCTGCTTCTTGCTGGGCGGCGCACCGCCCACGGAGCCCACGGAGCCGGGTCCGGGGCTGCTGGTGTAGAAGTCGTTGGTGTCGTTGCTGGAGGTGTCGCTGCTGTTGTCCTGCTGGTTGGGCCCGGTGCTGCGGCGCCGCTTGCTCGCCTCCCGCCGCTCGTTCTTGAGAAGCTGCAGCCGCTCCACATTGTTGGCGTCGCTAAGCCACAGCTGCATCCGGATGAACGGCTCCCGGCCCTTGATCGAGAGCATGTGCCAGGGCTTCGGTTTGCTGAGAAGCTCCGACACGGAGCCCTGCGACAGGCCCAGCACCGCCTCGCCGAAGATCTTCTGGCCGATGTTGTTCGCCAGCAGAGCCTCCTTGATCTTGGTGGTGATGTCGTGCGTGTCCAGGTCCTGGGTGAGGGCGGCCATCTCGTAGACGGTGGGCGACATGTGCTGATGCAGGCTGCGCATGGCGTTGGGCGCATGTGCGCCTCCGTGCACGGGCATCAGCATGGGCTTCTTCTCGCCCACCGGCCCTGAGGGTGGTCCAGCGGGTCCACCGGCATTGCCCTGGCCCCCGGGATTGGAGCCAACGCCGACGGCGGAGGCAGCACCACCCGAGGCTGGCAGGCTGATGGCATGCTGGGGAGGCAGGCCGGGGGACGTGAGCAGCATGTTCTGGTGGTGCAGGGCGGCGGCTGCCTGGGCGGCCGCGGCCGCCTGCTGGTGCTGGTGCTGCTGGTGCGGATGTGGATGGGGGTGCTGATGGGGATGCTGGTGCTGGCTCTGCTGCTGGGCGGCAACGGCGGCGGCAGCAGCGGCCGCCTGCTGCTGCTGTTGCATCGCCGCGGACATGGCCACGGCCTGCATCTGCTGCATGATGTGCTGCGCCTGGGCGGGCTCCTGCAGCTTCAGCTCGTTCATCATCTTCTGCATGGGCAGGGCGGCGGCCTGCATCTTGCTGGCCAGGCCCTGGGGCATCTGGGGGCTGCCGGAATAGCTACCGGTGCGCATCAGCTTCTCGGGCGCGATCTTGTACTGGCTGGCAACCAGCTTGTGCACGGCATTCTCGTCCTCGAGGAACATCTTCATGCGGATGAAGGGCTCGCGTCCCTTCTGGGTGAGCATGTGCCAGGGCTTGGGGCGGGCCAGCAGGTCGGAGACGGAGCCCTGGGACAGGCCCAGCACCGACTCACCGAAGAGGCGCTGCGAGATGCTGTACTGGGAGAGAGCCTCCTTCACGCGCCGCACAATGTCCTCCGTGTTGAGGTTGTTGAACATGTCGAACTGCTGCTGGGTGATGGGCGGTAGCACCGCCTTGGTGGGGCGTTGCGGAGTGCTGTGGTGCGGCGTAACCGGCGGCTGAGTGATCAGCGAATTGGTGATGGACGCCATTCGCTGCAGGGGGCTGGCGGTGGCCGCAAACTCCTCGCCCTGGTTGCTCAGAGCTGGCGGCAGGATCGAGTTGCTCAGCGGACTGGGGGCGGCCGAGTTGCTGGCATGGCTGCCGGCTCCTACGGATCCTGCTCCGGCTCCAACGCCGTCTCTGGCGCTGGAGAGGCTGTTGGCCGAGCCGGGCACGCTGCCGGCACTGCCCGAGGGAGGGGCTGGCGGTGCTGGCGGGGCCGGGGTGTCGGACTTGCGGCCGTGCAGCGACTGCGGATAGTCGCGTGGATCCTCGCGGTCACCGTCCTTGGAGCTGCTGCTGCTGTGCTCCAGCGAGCCGCGCTGCCCGTTCAGCTTGATATCCTTGACGGAGCCCAGCGAGAGGTCCTGGGCGCCATTGAGCACCTGCTGCTGCAGGGCCATCAGACTGGAGAAGTTGGGAAAGCCGGACACCGCCTGGGCTTGGGCCTGGGCCTGGGCCGCCTGCTGCTGCTGCTGCTGGTGCTGCTGCTGCAGTTTGGCGATCTCCCGCTCGAAGGCGTGGCGCATGTTCTCGTCGGGAACTGGGAATGCATTGGCCGCCCCGGGCATGCCGGCGGCCCCTCCAAAGAAGGGCGACAACAGAAAGCTATTTTCGAGAATAGACAAAGGGTCAGAGATTGTTCTCCCCAAGGATTCTCCATCGGTACTCACCTGGGGAAGGTTGCCTCGCGTGGTGTGCGGGCTATCAGCTCCTGGTAGAGGCGTGCCATCTTGTCCTGGGCTAGATCTTCGTGGCGGAGTCGCTGCTGCTGTTCGCGCTCCCGTTCGCGCTGCTCCCGCTGCTGCTGGTGCTGTTGGTGCTGCTGCTGGGCGGCGGCCACCACAGCGTCCCGCTGCTCGGAGGCCATGTGCTGCTGCTCCCGGTGCTGGTGCTGCTGCTGCTTCAGCTGCTGCTCCACCTTGAAGAAGGGCGATGTGCAGCTCTGGGGCGGCGACTTGCTGTCCTCGTTGCTGTGCGTGTCCTCGCCGGCGTGGCGACGCTGCTGGTCCTGCTGGTCCCGCTGCTGCTGGGCGGCGGTGCTCTTCATCAGGGAGGAGGCCTCGCTCAGGATGTGGGCAATGCGGTCCTCCGACATGGAGTCATCGCCACCGCCGCCGCCAGCGCCACGTCCCGCATACTGGGGCAGGCCCGAATCTGCAACAGCAAAGGAGACACAGAGAGAGAGAGAGAGATAGGATTAGAGAGGGCGATCGTAAAGACACTGCTGGGGATATACATCCCATTAAAGGTTGTAAAGTTTATGTGGCCTCCACTTGGGCTTTGAGGGCTCTGCTCATTTATTAAGGTTCGCTCTATTGGCTGTGACAGGACATGGACACAGACCCAGACCCAGACCCAGACCTCGAACAAGACCTCGAACCAGACCCCGACCCCGACCACGACCACGACTCCGAGTCCAACCGAAAACCAATTAAGCCATAAAGCGTTCAAAAAGCCAAAGCGAATTTGTGGCCATAAAGCGGCGCTGCAGTTGAAAGGGCCACCGCTCCCCATCAAGTGTCCCACCACTGAGAGAAAATCCCCGGGCAACATGCCCATGCACTGACAGAAATTGCAAGCGGTTCGCCATCCCATCCCATCCCATCCCAGAGGAGAGACTGCGCTGGGAGTGGGAGTGGATGAGGTTGGGGGTGTGTGAGTGGGAGTGGGAGTGGGAGTGTGGGTGCTCAATTATATCCAGCAACAAAAATGCCGAACGATGAATGGTCAACAAAAAAGTATTTGTGCCCGTTCCCCTTTCCTGCCTGCCTTCCTGTTATGCTTCCTCCATCCTGTTCCCCCCCCCCGCCTTAAATAGTTGTTCGATGCAGGAGAGCATTGCGCTAATTTGGCACGCGCCTGGTCCCACGAGGCCCCCACCACCCTCTGAGGGAGCTGCTCATCGAAGCGGGAGTTTGGTCACAGGGCCAGCGCCCAGCGACCAGAAACCAGGAGTTGAATAAACGAAATGAATAAATGAATGAATTCAATTGCAATTGAGAGCGGAGGATGCAAAAAAAAAAAAAAAACAGCAGCTAAAAAATATTTCATGTGCGGCACAAAAAACGATGCACACGAAAACTGAAAAATTGTTTTGCAGAAATTCAATTGAAATGGAGAAGCGTTTTGCTTTTTGGCTTTTTACTTTTCACGTGACACAGCGACAGAGACAGAGAGAGAGAGAGGAAGGGTGAGAGGTACAGAGAATCGAGTGGTAAATTGCAAAATAATCACACAAGTGGTTCGCCCCGAATACAAGGACCATAGAATTTCCTGTGTGATGTCCTGCGGCATGTTTTGTGGCTGCCACAGCACAAACATCAATCAGCCGCACACGTTCAACGCGAACAAGGGGGCGAGGCGGGGCGCGGCGGGGCAGCAATGGGGCCATGGACGACTGTGGACTGCGAAATGAAATAACTGAAAATCGCTTTACAATTGCCAAGCATAATCGATGCCCAAAGGAGCAAACACTTGAATGCCAAATAAAACTGCAAGAATCGCTCCAAAAAGCGGAAACGGAAATCAACACATGAATGACAAATGTGCTCCCTCCCCTGCCACAACAAACAAAGAAACAAAAAACACAGCCCCTCTGGACAGAGCCATTGAAGCGAGAGATTCATAGATTCAGGGAAAGAGAGACAGTGGAAGGGAGATGTGGTAGCCCTAGCCACAGGACCACAGGACCACCGACCACACAGATAGATGGATAAAGGCGATAAAATGGCCAACTACAATAGATCGGAGCCCTCTTAACGTGGTCCAGTGTCCTGTCCAGAGTGGACTCCTCACACACACTCCGCCAATCGCTGTGAGATTCGTTGCCATGTTCTCTACTTCCATTTTTTTTTTTGGCGAATAAAAATTGGAAAAATGATTTTTGTGTGAATTTTTTCCTTATGTGACTCCTTGTCGTCGCTTCATTTGGGGATTACAAAGTGTTTTTGTGTTATAAAGTCGAAGATGACATTGATGACACCTGGAATGACCCAGGCCATAGAATACCACGGGTAGATCCGGGCCAGACCCACAGATTGGAACAGGATATAAAAGAATAGACTGAAATGGAAATGAAAGTGCGGCGTCTGGGATGGGTATCGAATGGACAGACACAGACAGCTTAAGCGGTCTTAGTGGAAGACTGTGGCGATGGGGAATGGGGAATGGGGTTTGGAATTCGGAGTTCATAGATTAAAGCATTCCCTTTGGAGTGTAGTTTTGGGTAACATAAGCCCCAAAAGAACTACTTTAAGAAACGATTGACTGTGCCCGATCGATCGTTGCTGCTGTATTGCCAAGTTTCGTTGGTGACTGCACTTTAATCTATAATTTAAGAGTCTCGTGTGGCGCATTTCCGAGCAGACAAAGCTCTTGCCCCCAGCCTTCATAACGGATTCGTCGCCCGCAGTTTTTTGGCCCAACTTTCGCTGCCTCCGCGAATGGCCATCCTTTATGGCCATCATTCAACTTTTTACTCTACCGATGCAGATATTTATATATAGAAATATATATGTAGATATAGATATGGATGGCCACTTTTTTGTCTGCGATTTACATTCTTTATTTTTTGTTTTGTTTTTTTTTGTATGCCCCAATCCCCATTTTTTTTTTGGTTTTTTTTTTGTTTTTTATTTTTTTTTTTTTTGTAATTTATTAGAGAGGAACATGTTGACCAAATTGTCATTCAAAGGGATTTCGGATTTGTGCCGGACGCCAGATATGAGCTATCATATTTGTCTACCTTCGTGAAGAGAATACAGATGTGTTGGTGTTGTGTACCAGGATATATGTATATGTATACCAATACGAATGCGAGTGTATATTATATGGATAAGATATATTTGTATTTGTATATTTTTATATATGACAATCTATCCTAACCCATCTCGGTCTTCTCCCGCTCCAGCAATTTGCCTGATGAATATTTGCCTTTTATAACAAATCAGAGAGGAGGGAAGGAGCCCGCCCAGACACATGAGTGGATGGATGCTTCAGCTTCAGCTACAGCTCCAGGAGGTACTCCTCCCACCTCTGCTGTCTTTGGCTTTCTGTCTGTGTGTGTGTGTGTGTGTGTGTGGGGGATGGGTGGTTGCCATGTGGGGCTGATTCGTTTGTTTTTTATTCTAATACAATAAATATTTGCCAGCACACAAATATGTAATCATACTTCAACATGTCGCGCCGCACCGAAAGGGTTTGTTTCTCCCATTTCCATTCCCATTCCCATATTCATTCTAGAACCGAGTCAGTGTGTGATGGTGGGACGGGGGAACGGGTGGAATTGAACGGCACATTGAAATTGGCACACGCACGCAATTTGCATTAATTGCAAGAAAAATTTTCTAATTAAAATGCCAGTCATTTGTATTTCTTTTCTCCCCATTCGAATGAGGACTCCTCCACATGCCCACATACCCCTCCACACAACCCCATGCCCCATGCCCCATGCCCCGCTCCTTTTCCATTCTCTTTCCTTTGTCAGTTATCCATTTGTTGTTGCGTGGTATTAGCAAAAGTGTCAATTAAAACAAAAAAAAAACACACGCACAGAGAGAACACACATCAAGGAAACAAAGGGCCTAGGAGAAGGATCTTGATGAGGAGTAGCTGGAGGACCAGGATGAATTGGTAGCTTCTTATCCTTCTGGGTGAACAGAGGGCAAACGTAGCATGGAAAATTGAAGAGCTTCGACAGCGTTGGGACTGGGGCTGGCACTGCACGGCAGAGTCTCACCTGTTATCAAAAAACGTTTCACCTTCAAATTCTCCATCACTCACTCTCTCTGTCCCTCACTCTTTGGCTCTGTCGCACTCACACAATGTTTGTATTGCAATTAAGCAGAAAATATGAGAGAAGGAAGAAGTGATGGCAGAAGAGTGAGAGAGAGAGCGAGGGAGGCCGATGACAGGAGAGAGTAGAAGGCAGCAGAAAGGGCAGAAGAAGGAGCTTAAGCGAGAGGGAGAGGGAGAGGGAGAGAGGGGCTAAATGAGACAACAGCTGTGTGTCTGTGTGCAGGTGGTGGAATGAGCGGAATGGCTACAACGCGTGGTTGGAATGTCGGGAATGGAATGGGGATGTGTGCAGCAGCAGCAACTTTGTCTTGCATTTTAATTTGTTTTCGTCATGATTTCGCTTTGTTGTTCCATCTCCATGCTTCCTCACCTCCCCCCTCTCCCTCTTTCTCTCTCTCTTGCGCTCTATATATTGCACTCTTTCTCTCTCACTCTCTCTCTCTCTCACTTTGGCTCTTGTCAAAGTTCATTACAAAGTAATTAGCTGCCTTATATGCAAAATAAGAAATACAAAAATCAAGAAGTAAAAAGCAAAAATAAGTAAAAGAACCGGCAACACGAACACGACATGTGCAACATTAATTTGCGGCAGGCAGGAGCCACCCAAAACTTTCCCCATTTACCTACCCCTATTTGGGGGGAGGAGGAGTGTCTGGTGCCTCGCTGGTATACATTTTTTATATATTCTGGTTTATAGTATTATTTTTTTTGTTCTTTCTGGCAACCCAATCAAATTAGCACCCCTTGATCGGAGGCCATTACTCTTCGATGTTCCCCAGCCCCAGCCACAGCCCCGGCCCAATCCTCCTCTCAGCAGACCCAATCCTCGTGCCCCTATGAAATGCCTGATTGCCCCATTTCGTTCATCACAAAAGATATCAAAGAAATGAAAAATAAAATAAATTTCACAAATTTTGTTTCCCATTTTCTATGCTGTTTTCATTTTTAAAATACGCCTTGAAGGAGGGGGTATAATGATCCTCTCGATCGGCGATATATTTCCCACTTCTACAGCTGAATCTAAGCAGCAGAGCTGCATAAATCATAGACATATCTAGGTGTTCCAGGGTATCTCATGGTTCGCGCCTGCAAGAATTTCCTTCAATCTAGCTTTTCGTACGTTTTTGGTAGGTGATCGCCAGATTTATGAAAATTGTTGAGCGAGCTTTATGCTAATTTATGCGTATTGTTTTGTCTGCCCACGCAGGCCATCCACTCCTCTTGCCATGCCGCTCTCCTGTCTCTGTCTGTCTGTCTGTTACCGCAATGAGTCGCCACACTTATGCGATGCCACTCAATGAACAATTTTAATGGCCGCATCGGGGCGTGTGAGTGTGTTTGTGTATAAATAAAATCAAATCAAATAAAATACAATAAAGATGAGGCCGAAAAATCGCGTAAAAGCAAAGGAATTGATACGCCCCGTTGGTCACTTAGTCAGACCAGATCGCATGCCTATGTCTCCTCTCTATCGAAGCAGCAGCAGCACGTGAGTGTGTTGGTAATATGCACACAGATACACACTCCTACATATACATATACTCATGCATAGCGCGCTTTATGGCTTGTGACAAATAATTTGTGAAGCGGCCGCAAATAAATGTGTGGCAGGCAGGCAGGCAGGCAGGCAGGCGGCAGGCAGGCAGTCGGACCGGCATCTTCTGGCGTTTGGAATGCTTTTGTTTTGTCTCTCACTTTTCCCGTGCCCCGTGCCCCCTGCCACAGGCCCCTACTCTCTCTTCTACTCGGCTCCCTCCCCTTCTTGCGCTTTCTTGCGGCTCTATTTTTGGCCACTCGCACTCTCCGCCGCTTTGGCCTGCGTTGGCCTGGCTAAAACAAATAGACGACAACGGCGATGTCTGCTCAGAAATTATGTGTTAATATGCTAGTATTATTAGCTGCTATAATGGCTGGCTCCCCCCTTAGTCCGTCTCCCGCCTCAGCTGTCCCCTTGCCGCAGCCCTCCATGCCACCGGCACCCCGCCCCCTTCCTGCATTATTCTTTTGTCATTACGTATACGCAGAGTAATTTTCCCTTTTTAACGTTTTTTGTGTGCTGTTTCTGTGTTTGGCTTTGAGCGTTGGCCAGGCTAAATGAGTTTCAATTGAGCACTTAACCCGGTCCTACCTCTACAGTCCCCCGTTTCCCACTTTCCCACTTCCCCTCTGTCCTCAACCGCTCTATTCCAAAAACTCCCATCCAGTGCCACTCCCAAATCCTCTGACATCGTGTTTATTCGGGCAAAGTCCTGTCAACTGGTTTTTTGTGTACTCTGACTAGAACTTTGCACTGAAGTGCAGGCACAGTGGAATGAGTTGGGTATTAAGTCATCGAATTTATATCGATAAGTGGACAGAAGAGCGAAGGCTGCAAGGCTACTATCAACAGGGAAAAGGGGCGATTAACGATCAATGGTGAAGGTAATCATGAATGATAGTGAAAGTCGATTATCGTTATCGTTGGTTAATGATGAATGAGACTGAAAATCGATTAATTATCGTTGGGGTAATCTTACATGAGAATGTAAGTCAATAGTTCGCTCTTTAAACCTAATCTTGCATCCATATTGTATTCGTTTTTCTATTCCCTTACCATTTGATCGATATGGCAGATATCAGTGCAGTGCACTAGCCCCGACCCCTGCACCGCTCACCACTTCCTTGGCTGTCATCCCCCTTCCTGTTCTCCAGTTTTACAGTTTAATATTCAACAATTGTCGTTAAATGTTACAAAAACATGAAGAACCTACAGAAAATAGAGGAAAAGCAAACCGAAAACGCAAAAACTTTTGCGTCAACCCATAGACGGGGCGCTACCCTCTCCTCCATGGCCCTACACACACACACACACACACACACACACACACACACACACAGAGAGAACCCTAGACGAATAACCATTCAACCCCTGCCACATAATCCTGCCACTGCCCCATCGCTTGGCAGTGCCTCGCGCCCCATCCTCGACCGACCACAAAGACGACTTCAAACGCTCGGCACGTCAACGTTTTGCATGCCTCGTTGAAGGCAGCGACTGAGGCAGTGGCAGTGGCAGCGGCAGCGGCAGCAACAGAGGCAACAGCAGAGGTAGCGGCAGTTGCAACTTGTTGTTGTTGCTGGTTCGTTATATATATATTTATATATATATATATATAAATACAATACTATATGGGGAGTATATATAGGAATTTTATTTTATGATTTTTTATTTCTGTTGTATTTTGTTTCAAGCCTTTCACAGACCAATTGTCACGGCAGTCGTCTGCTGCCCGTACTCCTCCCTCTTCCATCCCACTAGCCCACCCACTACTCTGCCACGACACCACCCTCCCCCCCCCACGTTTTACCGTTCGCCTCATAACGCGCTTTAAACAATTACAATTCAAAATTCATTGACGCGGATCCTGGGTTAACTTTTGCCACAATGACTTCAAAGTATTGTTAACCAACAGAGTTGACAGAAGGTAGTAGTGGCACAGCGGTACGGGTGGGGCAGGCACCACCCCCTGCAGGTGGCAGGTGGCTGCCCCTAGCAGTAGGCAAGGCTAAATGCTGTCTTCTGTCCCTTTTTGTGTGGTGGTGGTGGAATAATCCAAAGAACAGATCTGCTAATAGCTAAACCCCATATTTGCTTATAATTAGCATGGGACTGGAAAAAAGGGGAAAAAAACTGGACCCCCCCCCCCCCACACTCTCTATCAACAGAGTTACAGTTACATTTACAGTTACAGTTACAGTTACAGTTACAGTTATAGGCTACAGTTAGTTTAGCTTCCATGAGTAATCGTCATAAATTAATTGTCAACATTTGCCTGCACTTAGACCCCCTGCCAGCCCACACACCACACGCATATCCCTGTCCACCAGGTGGACGGGGTGGAACGAGTGGAATGGGCTGCAGCAATGTGTGGAATGAATGGAATGGGTATTTGAACTGGGTACGAGTATGCGTGCCCTGCCACTTTAAAAATACTTTTGCATTGACATACTCGTATTTGTTGGGAAGTGGAAATTGGAAGGGGGCTTTGGGGTTTGGGTTTCCATAAAATTGATGACTAATCAATAGCGGAACAGCGGAGTGGCCAGCAACCAAGGCAACAGATAACAAGAGAAGGCGGCTGATGATCATACCATTATGGGGATGGATGGATGGATGGATGGATGGGCAAGGGGAACAATGATATAAAAACGAAATTAAATGAAAAACGAAACGAAATTCCTGTTCATTTTCACGCCTAATGTGCGAATTTGGTGAAATTTATGGCGACAGGCAAATGGCCGCTCGAAATGCACTGAAATGTCTCTCTTCTTGTCTGCAGAGTGTCGTCCGTCTCTCCTGCCTGCCTGCCTGCTTGCCTGCCCCACCCGGTGGCAGTGGCAGCACCCCCTCCACGTCTTGGCGTTGCCGTTTGCCGCTGCGTCGTCAAGTTTGTCGCTGTGACTGTGACTCTGCGGCTGTGTTCTGTGCTGTTGGCACGTTGATTATACGCAAAAATCAAAAATAATTAAAATTTCACAATTTAATGTTTTGGCCGCGGGCCAAATGAAATGAAAAACGCCATAAGCCACGAACGGAGAGAGAGCGAGCGAGTGAGAAATGGAGACAGGGAGAGATTCAGATTGAGAGACAGATAGAGAGAGAGAAAAAGATAGAGAGAGCCAAAAGAATGAAAGAAGGAAGGGACAATGTTTTGAAGCTGAAGTTAAAGGGATTCATGCGGATGGATGGGACAATGATGGGGAATGGAACAATATTTGGCGAACTAGTTCAATGACGCCGGCACATGGAGTGGAACGGAATGGAATGGATATGAGATCACCTTTAAGTTATTTAAATAGCCTTTTGTTTGGAATACCCTTTTACCCCATTCCCATTTCGTTGGGAAAACCTGCTGTCTGGCCTAACTGACGGCTGTCAAACTTCTTAAGCCCCAACTGCAGCTGAAACTGCAACCCGTTGCTGGATAAACATGGTAGGATATAGCTAATCCACTCACCTTTCTTGGGTATCAGCGACTTGAGCAGCATGACGGCGTTATCGTCACAGGCCCAGGCATGCATTTTGCGGTAGCTGTCGCGTCCCTTCTCCGTCAGCTTGTCCCAGGGCTTTGGTTTGCTCAGGAGCTCGGAGACGGTGCCCTGCGACAGGCCCAAGATGTATTTGGCGAACAGCCGCTGGCCTATGTTATGCACGGAGAGCAGCTCCCGTACGCGTCGCGAGATGTGCAGCGTGTCCAGGGCCTGGTTGGCGTACTTGTCCATGTTGTAGCGCAGCATCTCCTGCAGCTTGGCCTCCATGGGATCGCCCTTGGGTATCAGTGACTCTCCCAGGCGACCGGCCATCGAGGCGCCGGGCGGCAACTGCATCTCCGCGTCCGCGAACCGATAGTGTCCGCGCGCATCCTGGTTGGCGGCCGCCGCGGCGGCAAACTGGAAGGCCGGCAGGCTGGGCAGGAAGCCCGGTCCCAAGGCCGCCGCATGCTGGGCGTGGGCGGCCATTGCCGCTGCCGCCGCCGCTGCATTGGCATTGGGCGTCAAGCCGTTGTTGTTGTCCTCGGCCACGGCGCCGGCTGCCACGGCTGCGGCATTGGCGGCGGCGGCTGCCTGCAGCAGGGACTTGCTGCCGTTGAGGGTGCTGGCCAGGCTGGCCGCCAGTTGGGCGGTGCTGCTGGGGGTGCTGTTGGCGCTGGAGGAGTTGGAGTCGGCGTGGTGCAGGTGGTGGGCCGCTGCCGAATGCAGCAGCTGCCCGTGCGGATGGCCGTGGGGCAGGCCGTGCGGATTGTGCCCGACCAAATGGTGGCCATGCCCGTGCGAGTGGTGGTGGTTGAGGGCGCCGTCGGTGGTGCTGCCGGGACCCGAATTGCAGCTGCTGCTGTTGCTGCTGCTGTTGGTGCCGCTGCTGTGGTGTTGCGACTGTTGCTGGAGGTGGTGCTGCTGCTGTTGCTGCTGGTGGAGCTGCTGGTGCTGATGGTGCGACTGTGGCTGCTGCTGCTGGTGGTGGTGGTGCGGATGGGATCCGGCATCTAGGCGAGAGGAGGAGGAGAAAGTGGAGTTAACCAATTGACTGAGCAACGCTGTGGACGAGGGTCCGTGCTGCTGTTGTTGGTAGTGTTGTTGTTGTTGTTGTTGTTGTTGCAAGGTTGGCGGTGGCGGCGGCGGTGGCGGCAGCAACTGTGGCTGCTGCCCCGCATTGACATTTTGATAAACTGTTGGCGTTTTGCTCCCTGGCTGTGGCTGTGGCTGTGGCATGGCAACTGTTGGGGCAGACTTTGTCGGCGGCGGATTGGGGCTCTCGAAGCCGCGTCGCCAGTAGCTGTTGACCAGCTGCTCTTCGAGTGTGGCGGGCGGCTGCAATATCGCCTCATCCTCATCTTCATCTTCATCCTCGTTTTCGTTTTCGTTTTGGTTATCATTATCGTTATCGTTATCGTTCTCATTCTCGTCTTCGAGCTCTTGCTTTGTACGCACTGTGGTCGCCAGCCCATCGTTTGCCTCAGTTGCAGCTTCCATTTCCGTTTCCGTTTCATTTTCATGCGTTACACTTTTGGTTTGGTTTTGGGACGCGGCGGCGGCTCCTGCTGCTCCTGTGGCAGGTGCTGCAGCTGCTGTTGCTGCTGCTGCTCCTGTGGAGGAGGAAGCGGAGGAGGCCTCGTCTGGGGGCGGCGGCATCGCTGCGGGAAACAACAGACAAATTGTGCGATTTGTTGCTGCTGCTTTTTGGTGGCAATATCATAATGAGGGGGGTTTTATTTTTCATATTATCAACAACATCCATGGAACAAAACGCCAAAAATTAATCAAAATTTGTATATATATTTTTTTCTTTGCTTTTTTCTCATTTTTGATTTGATTTTCAATTCGGTTTTTATCATTTTTCATCACTTTTCAAGTATCGTTCTTGTATCGCCAATTGGTGCAACAAAATAACAAAGAATCGTGTGTATATGATTATATATAGAATTATTTATACATATATATATATATATATATATATATGATATATTTAAAGAGAGAGAGAGAGAGAGAGACAGACAGAGCGTGAGACAGAGAGAGAGAGACAGTGAGAGAGAGAGAGAAGAATGTGTTGTCTGTTTTTTGTTTTATTTTGCCTTTCGATTCTTTTGGTGGATTTGACTTTCTTTCGTACTGATGGTCGGATCTATCGATAAGCATGCACAACGATAACAATAACGATAACAACAACAACAACAACATTAAGAAGAACCACATCACATCAATCGCTCGATGCAAATATTTATAGATATTATATTTGTGTTGAAAGGCAAAGAAATAAATGGAAATAAAACAGAAAACTGCAAGAAAAAAAAAAAAAAACACTGCAACTCCGACTGTGTTTGCCCCCAAGGGCCGTAAATGTTGGCGCCAGATCCCACCCCCTAGCTGCCTCTGTCCCCCTGCCTTCTGTCACGTCTTCTGGCGGCTGTTCCTCCTCCTCTGCCTCTTCCTGGGGCCTGCGATAAGGCTGCCTCAAACAAACCATAAAAGAACGACCAACAGTCGGATCAAAATCAAAGCTCGACTGGAGGTCCCATTGATAAGAAGGGCCATTGATCGACAGGCAGACAGAGGGAGAGAGAGAGAAAGAGAGAGTGGGATAGAGGGAGAGTGGGAGAGAGGAGTGTGGCAGGCAGGCGCTGGAGGCAAACAGCAGCCGTTGCACCGGAAGTACAGTCCCACACGGGCACACACGCACACACACACACAGAAACCGAAGTAGACATAGATACAGATACAGATACATTTACAAAAGAAAAGAAGACAGTTTGAGAACTCACCTTCGCTGATCGCATTGGCAGAGTCACCGCCGCTGCCGCTAGCACTGCCACTGGCACTGGCGGCACCATTCTTGAGGGCCTCGGCGGCCAGGGCCTTGGTCCGCTCCATGAGCAGGGCCTGGAATTTGTTGGGATCGTTGGCACAGGCGGCGGCAGCTGCGGCAGCAGCCGCGGCCGCAATGGCCGACTGGGGACTCAGAACATTCAGATCCAAAGGACTGCTGCGGTAAAGGAAAGCAAACACAGATAGGGATATGAATACACTGCCGGGCATACGGGGCGGATGGAATAGATGGATGGATGGATGGATGGTTGGATGGTTACTCACTGCTGTTCCTTTTTGATTTTCAGCTCGTTGCTGTCTGCATTGGCTGTGGTTTGGTTTGACATGCGGTCAGCATGATCCTGATTCTCGGCATCCTCGTCCTCCTCGTCATCGTCCTCTTCATCAATCTGCTGCTGGTGGGGAGCCAGCCGCGAGCTGGCGGAGGCAGCCTCCTCGCCCTCGTCATTGTCCACGAGCATGGCCTGGTGGTCATCCTCCTCTTCCTCCTCCTCATCGTCCTCAGCCTGGGCTGAGGCCTGGGTGGCGTCCAGATCGTTGGCTGCGGCTGCGGCTGCTGCTGCTCCCTCCAATGGAGAGGCGGCGTTCACCTTGTTGTTGTCGCTGCTCTGGTTGTTGTTGTTGTTGGTGGCAGCCGCATTGACGGCGGCAGCCAAGGCGGTGGCCTCGGCCAAGGCCTCATTGATCTGCTGCTTGTCGAGGCGTGCCTCCAGGCGCATGATGTGCTGTCGCTTCACCTCCAGATGCTCCTCCAGACGCTGGATCTGCACCAGATGTGTCTGCTCCAGGGCACGCAGGCGCTGCAGCTCCTCCAGAAGTGCTTTAATCTGGAAAAAGAAAGTTGCACGATTAGTGATGGATCATTTTTTCTTGATGGGTTCAAGGGTTGCTTGTGTTTCTAGATTTTATCGAGGGAGCCCATTATTTTCCCTCTCTCTCTCCATTTGGGGGAAAGTTTGAGAGAGTTATAAAATAATTTTTAATAAAATTAACAACAACGTCAATGTCGGTTGGCGGTGATTGCCGGCGACACACAGAAACCCCTCCCCGAAACCCGTAAAACCACCCAACAAACGCCGCCAGGTACAGTCATCCCCCCCCCCCCCCCCCCCCCCCCCCACCCACTACCCGTTCGCTTTCGCATCCTTTTGTTTTGAAGGAGGAACTTTGTTTGTTTGATGAAAATATGATAATTGGCAAATTTGACAAGGGAATTTTTCTTAAGTGCGTCGAGCGACAACGTACGATGTGTGTGTGTGTGTGTATCTCTGCGTGTGTGTGTATGTGTGTGTCGCCTCCACCCATCCTCAGTGCCTTCCGCGTCGTCTTGTTCGGCAAAAGTTGACAAGATAAAGTTTTTCGGCAGCAGTAGCAGCAGCAGCCGTGTGGCATGCAACGAAATTTTTTAATGACAGCCAGGTGGGCGTGGCCGCGTGTATGCTGTATTTCTTATTATGTGATTAAAATTAATTTTATGGCGCGGTTTTTAATTGAAGCGTATGCCCGAAAAAAGGGCCGGGGAAACTTTTGCGCGCAACTGTACCGCACATCAGGCATCGAATATCGAAGTCTTCACCGAGGATGGGGCTGTGGCGCTGTCGCTGTCGCTGTCGCTGTCGCTGTCCCATATGTTAATCAAATAAGTTAAGGGAATCAACATAATTCTAACAACAAATTTGCGTGTCATTGCGTGATTTGTGTCGAACAGAGGCATAAAACAATAATTTCATCAGCATGGGAACACATACGTGTACATACCCCACCCCGCTCCTATCAGGAGGGGGGTATTCGTGTGTCTATTTTATCAATAATTGTGGATGGGCCTGGGACTGGGACTGGGGCTGGGTCTGGGTCTTGGTCTGGGGCCTGATGATTATTGGCCATAAACAATGGCCTGTTTTGATAGAGGCAATAATACATAATTGGCATTAAAAAAGCATCATGCATGCAGGCATGCGTGTGTGTGTATGTGTGTGTGTGTTCCATGCCGCATGTTCCTTCCGTGTGCCGTGAATGGGATGGCATGCCGAAAAATGCAAAACAGCCGCCAGGATCCGTTAATTCTATTATCAATCAAAGGACACACACACGTGAAAGGGTTCGAGTCGAGTGTGTGGCAAGGCAGGCAATGAGCGGACCCCCATGCCACATGCGTGTTCGATTTTTCATTAGCATACGGGACACAAAGACGCGGCAGCAACCCCAAGGGCTGCCCGCTGCCTGCCTGCCAGCCCGCCAGCCTGCCTGCCATCGGGTCTGAAGACATGACAAGACGACAAACGACTCAAATTAATTGCATAAAAATCTTTTGGGTGCGGTGAGCCCTCGACGTATCTGACGGGGGTGCTGGCTGATGGGTGCTCGAAGGGGGTGGCTTCTAATTGCCAACTGCTCGACAGACACAACCGCCATGCTCAGGGCTCGGACAAAAAGTAAACGGAATTTTTCGCAGCTTTTCTTAAATAAACGTAATTAGCGGCAGTTCCTCGTTTGTTCATCCTTTCTTTCTACCCGGGAATAAACGTACATATGTATGTAGTCACATGTGGTGGCAACTGTACCCGCATGGGATCACAAATCATATGGAAAATCAGCTGGAAAGGCGCGCGAAAAGGTCTGGCTGCTGACATCTCGTGGAAATTGTCATTTCGATTTGTTGTATTTAGACAGAGAATTCTGTCGCTCTCTCGCTCTGGGAGCCAAAGAAATATTAAAACGATAAATCAACTTTTTGGATTTTCAACATGGATTCCCCTCCCCCTCCCCCACCCCAATCCCCCCTCACCTTTCCCCAGAAAGCAGAAATCATTTTCAACCCTTGAAGAGCAGAAAGTTTTTGCAGCTCTGTGGTTGATGAGGCTGCCTGTGGGATGGTCCCAGTCCTGGATACTGGATACTGAATGGGACAGGGATCGGAATGGTGAGTGGAGAGTGGAGAGTGGAGCCAGCAATCAAACAAACTATATAACAAATACTCGTGAGGGGTAAACTAGAGGAGGGGGGCAGTGGTGTCTAGGTGGTTGGTTTTCCCTTCCGTATTGACTGTAAAATTATGAAAATTTACATTTTTCATGGCCCCCGCCCCACGTCGTGAGAAATGTGCTCGGACAAAGGCTGGACAGCCGGCAGAGCAACTAGAGGTGGATCAGAGGTGGAGAGACTGGGTCTGTCATATGGGCTCTCTTGGCACTCTGGCTTAGTTTTTGGGGTAAAAATTGTTGCAGAGAGTGGCGGGCTGAGAGAGCGAACATTAGCATCGAGCGAAAAGCAAACGATTTGTAATTAACAAAATTGCCAAGCAGCCAAAACCATCCTCCAACCCTTTCGGCTTTACCCTTTGCATAACAATTGACAAAGCAGTCAATACACAGATACAGATACACACACACACACACACACACACACACACTCATATGTATATGGGAGGGGGATGTGGCAGAACAATAACAAACACTCGAAGGCAAAAGACGAGAAACGTCGCACAATTGGCAGCAGCAGCAGCAACAGCAGTGGCAGTGGCAAGAAGCAGCAGCAGGTGGAGGCAAGCAGGAGAAGCTGGAGAAGAAGGAAGCATAAAATGCCAAAAGGAATTAAGGTTATGCGTCTGTCTCTTTCTCTTTGAGAGAGTGTGTGTGTGTGTGTGTGCCACATGAGGCAAAGGGTTTTCCACACAGCGCTTCAAGGATTGGGGTCTCTCTAAAAAAAGGGTTTAATCAGCGAACAGCAGAAGTAGAAGCAGCAGCACCATCACACACACACACACACACACACACACAGATTCACCAATCTACAAATACAAATTAACAATAAGCAATCAAAGACACACACACAAAGACAGAGAGAGAGAGAATCTCTCGCCTCAGAAGGGGGGTGTCCTTTTTTTCACCAAACAGCAAAAGCATCATCAGACTTTTAGGCCGTCAGCTGCCAGGCAGGCAGGCAGGCAGCAAAAACCGTCAAAGGAATTAAAATTCATTCGGGCATAAAAATTTTAAAATATATATATTGTAGATATACGAGTGGGCGGGGGGAGTGGGTGATGGATAGAGATAGCGCATATAAAAAGGGGTAACTTTTGCCAGCAGAAGGAACAGCAGCAGCAGCGGCAGTGGCAGCGGCAGCAGGTGGGGGGTGGGGCAGTTGTGTTGTTAATTTCCAAAAAGCCAAAAGACAAATGAGTAAAAAGCAACAACACAGCCGAGGCAGTGGGATGCACAGGCAGTGCCACCAGCATCGATTGTCTCAATGTCGTCAAATGTTTTTCTTTCCTTTTTTTTCGTTGGCAGAAGTACCCCCTTTTCTAGGGTATGATTACTACTCTTCAGCAAATATTATAACTATTCTTGAAATAGGATGGAAAAACTAGTCGAACAAGCGGAAACTGCAAACGAGAATGCCCGAGAATGCAAAAACAAAATACATGCCGTGTGGTTGAAGCTCTAAAGAAACAATGGATCAAGGGTATCCAAAACTCGATCATCCCTTAAAAGCGAGCACATATCTTTTCCATATTTGGATTTTTTGTTGTTTTTTTTTATTTGTCATTGATTTTTGATTGCTTGAAGTGCTGGCCGGACCCCGTCCCACCGTCTCTGGATCCGTCTCCTGCCAAGGAGTAGCTCTTGCCAGTCCAGGGATGGGTGGTAGTGGGGTGGATGGAAGCTTTAAAGTCTGCCAAGTGCACCCCAGAGAGCCTTGACGCCGGGGCTTTTGTGTTGGTGGAGCATTGCCCGTCGCCGGCAGCTGCCGTGGCTCTTGCATTTCTTTTGCATCTGGCAATGCCCAAGTTGGCAATTTGCAACAAAAGATAACAAACAGCAACGAAAGGAACAAAAAATAATAAAAGCAGAAAAGCAGAAACAAAAGACCCCCGAAAGAGGTCACATATGGAGTCCCTGTCAGAGCGGAAAATGATTAATTTGCTCTGATCTTCAGTGAGTGGACTCGTGAGTGTGATCTATGAGTGGCAGTGCAACTTTTACTCCATACACTCACCTATTCAATCACCGATTCATTTATTCACTTAGCCATTCATACATTTATTCATTCGCCCCAGCAGCCAGACCGACAGACAGACAGACAATTCATCAGCTTAAAGACCTTAAATCGCAGGTAATTTCCCCCGGAATTTTTGCATTATTTGTCAATTGCCTCAGGGTGGGCGCAAAAAACGTAGTGCGGGGGTTCTGTGGGGGGCAAGGGTGGGGGGGTGGCTGTTCGATAGATGGGGGAGGTGCGGGCTGCGGGTTGCGGAGTGGTGGCAATGGCAATTTACAACAATTCAAAGGCATAAATCAAACATTTTGCAAGTTGAAGTTGGCACGGAATGGCCCCTCCCAAAACCGAAAAGGGGTGGGAGGGGGAGCCCCAGTCAAGTTTTCCGTTCTTTGGCGATTGCTCCGTTTGTCAGTCAGTCAAACAGCCATTCATTTAGTCAGTCAGTCAGTCATTCATTCATTCATTCAGTTACTTACGCACACACGCACAGGGAATGGTAAAGTTATTGAATTGATTCGGATGTCTGTTTTTCGTGGTGGTGCCCCCTGGGGGCACGCAATTCGTTCGCGAATTCGTTCGACTCCGTTGTCTTTGTGCGTCTCTCTCTCTCTCTCTCTCACTCTCTCACTGGCGGACCTCTCTTTCGCTCTTGCAGACGGGGGGCCTCTGCTGCCGCTTGCTGTTGTTGTATTTTTTGGATTATAAAGTTTTGTAATTAAAATTTGACAGCTTTACAATTCCCAGGACCATCCCCCTGCCCCCATCTAGGGCACCACCAACTCATCTTGCCCCACCGACCCTGCCTCTCCTGCGTCCCGCGCACATTTTC